AGCTCACGATTAAAATTGTGTGGAGAAACTCTTATTGAAAAGGAAATTGTTGATCGGTTTTAGGTCATTCCCTGAAATGAATATTACCATGGTCGGGGTCTAGGTTAGAATCATATTCATGGTTGTGGTTACAGAAGAAAAACTTGGCATCATGATGGTTATATAAACCCACCTTACCACTAGAAGCGGACAAATAGAGAAACAAAGCCAAACAAAGGAAAGTGTTTACTAAATAAACCTCCCAAAGTTCATGAAGAAGTTTGTTACAAGTGCGGTATGAAAGGGCGTTGGTCACATATCTGTCGTATGTCCGAACATTTGGTAGATCTTTATCAATCATCAATAAAAGAAAAGAGCAAGAAGAGAGAAATAACTTATACTGATCATCAAAATGAACTAGCGAATATAACTTGTTTTGATATTTCAGATTTATTTGTTGATCCTAGTAGCAGTACTAATCATTTTATTGGTGATAGGAATGTCTATTTCGATTAAATATATATTGCTCATTATATTATTATCAATCTATTATAAATGCATATTCATATATTTAAGTCAAAATTGTGCAAACCTACGGGTCTATCTAAGATGAATAACCCCACCTCAAGGAAGTTAAGGTCACCGGTTTGAATCTCTTATGTAGTAGTTATACTGATAATAAGAATTAAAAAAAAAAAATTACGTGAGGACACCAGTAACTTGCCACTACAAAAATCAACTATAAATTACAAGCAATTCTTCGATAAATATTACATCAAATAATTTTGTAATAATCATGACTAGAGTGTTGCATTAGTATATAAAGGCATAGTTATCAGAACCAAACCAAACCAGTGGGTCAACCCGGAGAACCAGTCGACCGATGTCTTAGTCGGTTGGACAATTTCTATCAATCCGGTTCATTCTTACAAAAAATATATTTTAACAAATACTAAATCACATGGCTACCACAGTTCGCTATTTTGAAGGCTTCCACGTAGGCTGATTTCTTTAAGGGCTATCACAAATTTTATAGCCTACATGTTGTGTTTTCGCTTAAGTAGTCGATGTGGGATTGCATGTTGCTGTGTGTTTTCTTCTTTTGGCTTTTTATTTCCATCTTTTTATACTTTGAAGTATGCTTCTTAGGATTTGCTACTCAATACTTGTTGATAAAAGTTTTTAATGCTCTTTTAAATTATATAAATTATCTAAGAAATTAATAAATTGTGATTTTTTTTACTTTTTTTTTATCTACTATTATTTTAAACATGCTATCTTTATAATAATTAAACTTTCTTAGCATATTCATTTCATTTTTTATTTTTTATTTTTTTATTATACAATTGGTTTGACCAACTGAACCAACAGTTGCATCAATGAACCATTGACTCAGTCCCTATATCGGTTATGATAAATATGCACAAAGGAAAAAAGAAAAATATCATTACATAGAGAATAAAAATACAAAGGAGATAACAAATAAGAGTTTGCAAGATCATTGTTTCAGGAGCCATAAAAAATTTAGAAGAAAATAATTTGCTCTCTATGGTATGTATCATATAACACACACACACACACATACACACATATATGTTTGATCTAAAAGACAAATATCTTTACGTAATCTGATATTTACGTGCGCAATTAAACGAAGGTATTGATAATTTGGTTCCCACGTAGTTAGCCACGCCTAATGACTGTGAATCCTGAATTGAATGGTGAATATGCATGTTTGGTATATAGTGGTACAATGTACATAATTCTTCAAGATAAAAGTTTTTTTTTTCAAATTTACCATAAGCTAGCTAAATCTAACGTAAATACAATATCAGGTTCTACAAATCAAATTGAAGGCTCCGAAAGAGCCATAATAATTTTACCAAATAGAACAATAATTCATATCAAGAATGCTTTATATTTAGTCAAATTTAGAAGTAATCTATTAAGTTTCAAAGATGTACGTTGAAATGAATTTTATATTGAGACTATTAATGATTGTAATACAAAATATATTTGTATTATTGGTATTATTTTCATCCAAAAGCTGATATTAGATAAATTTTATATTTTCTCTTCTAGGTTGTATCATACAACTATAAGAATAATTAAATCAAATAATATGATGAGCTAAAACTCACCGATTCAAAAACTTTTATACTTTGACATTACTAATTAGGTCACCCGGGGTCAAAATTGATACATTGAATCATCAACAACTCTTGTAGATATTTGTTAAAAAACCAGAAGATTATTTTGCCTAGTAATTATCCATGTACTGCAAACTCACAAGATAAATTGATTATTAGACCATCTCTTGTTAAGGTCAATGTCGAATCCCAAACAAATTCAAAGGAATATATGTGGACTATCATGTGAACCATTTCGTTATTTTATTGTCTTGATAAATGCATCAACAAGATGATCACGTGTCTCCTTACTATCTATTCATAACATCGCTTTTGCTCGGTTCCTTACCCTAATAATTCGATTGTGGACACAATCCTCATATTATCCAATCAAGACAATTCTTCTTGAGAATTCCTAGTAAATTTAAATCCCAAATATTTGATGATTATTGCATATCTGTCGAGATTGACGTTGAGCATACAATTGCTCACATTCTTACCCAAAAAATATAATTGAGTCTTTTTTTAAAAGACTTCAATTGATTGTTCGGTCTTTACTTATGAGGACAAAGTTACTCATTTTTGCTTGTTGATATACTAATTTACACGTGGACGCCTTAGTTCATATTCGACTAAGTGCAAACCATCAATATTCACTTTTACAACTCGTATTTGGTCAATCCTCAAATATTTTCTGATTTACGAACTTTTGATTTTGTTGTACATATCTCAATTGCACTCCAACAACGTACTAAAATAGATCTTCAACGTCGATTAGAAATATATATTAGGTATAATTCACCCTTACTTATTAGGTATCTTAAAAAAAAAAACTTATTAGGTATAATTCACCCTTACTTATTAGGTATCTTAAAAAAAAAAACTTATTAGGTATCTTAAACTTTTGACAAACAATGTTTTTACCGCAAGATTTATGGATTGTCATTTTAATAAGACACATTTGTCGTCATTAGGAGGAGAAAATATGCCACCTAAAGATTGGCCTAAACTTTCTTGGAATGTACAATCTATCTCATTTTAATTCACGTACTTCTCAATGTGAAACTAAGGTATAAAGAATTATATATCTATAGAAAAATTGCTAATCATTTGTCGAATTAGAAAACTAAGATGCAACCACATTATTACGAATAATATCCCCTAAAGAAACATAGACTCCTAAAGGGATGCAGATAGCTACAAATAAAGAAATATTCATTAACTATGCATACACAAGAGAATTATGGGATCACACGAAAATGGTTATTAATGATGTATTCTCTTTTTCAGTAATTACTGAAATCTTAAAAAGACGATAATCTTAAACCACGCCCTATAAGATGAATGTCAATTTAAACATGATTGGCAACTATGGAAAGAAAATCTAAACAAAATTGAATTCTCTAGAAAAACATGAAGTGTTCGGACTTGCAACCCGACCACCTAATAGTGTAAAACCAATGGGATATAAATGGGTATTCATTAGAAATGAAATGATAAGAACAAGATCACAAGATATAAATCAAAGTTTAGTGGCACAAGGGTTCTTGCAAATACCTAAGATTGATTATGAAGAACTGTACTCACCAGTAATAAATATCATTACATTTTAGTATTTAATTAGTTTGAGAGTCTCAGAAAGGCTCGACATTCGTCTTATGGACGTAGTTACCGCATATTTGTAAGAAATACTAGATACTGAATATTTTTAAAGGACTAAAATTAACTGAAACAAATAAATCAAAACCATGAAGCATATATTCAATTAAATTGAGACGATCTTTGTATGGTTTTAAAGTAATATGGTAGAATATGGCATCATTGTCGTAATTTATACTTGCTAAAACAATCGCGTATGCCCCTGTATGTTTAAAAAAGATGAGATTTTGGATTTGCAATTATTACGGTATGTGTTGTTAATATGAACCTGATTAATGATGGGTGTGTGACCAGTTCAATTGATTTTTTAATCAAATGGAGAATTTCATCAGGGAAACATCCACATCAAGTTATAAGACAATTTACACATTGTACTCTGTCTCCTTTGTCCAAGCTTTACTCAACTGGATTTCACTAACAATGTTTTAATGGGGCAGCATTCGTGAATCTAACATTATCATATTATAGTAGTCATCCAAATAGAAGTGTTGTAAATCAGATGGATGACTACCCCAAGTACTCATTTTCTCATAAATGCTCAACTATGTATATTTGCCTATAAAAGGCTTACGAAATGAACGGAAGAATTAGGAAAAGGAAAAGAAAAAAAGAAATGTGTGATCCTCAACACATTGATATATTATAACTTGTTTTCTACATTTATATGCGTATTGCCCTCAATATTCTTGTAATATTTCGTTGATTTCCCAACATAATTTTCATATTAGTCCACATTTTTGTCGGCTTTTTTTTGTCCCTCAATCTAAGGAGGATAAATTTTTATCACTTCATTGACGATCTGCCCCGAAAATTGCAACAAAGAATTTCTGTGTTATATTTAAAATTTCATGGGATTCTCATCAAAAATTGGTGCTCACAAATTCCCTCCAATTTTTTCAGAATTTTTCTCCAAATTACAGTGCAATAGGCTTCGCTTCTATTTACCATTTCCATAATTCTTGAGTTATTTCTCTCTATTTACCATTGTTTTTATAGAAGTGTGGATTTAAAAAACGCTTTGCAGCATAAAAACATGATTACAAAATTATAAAAACGACTATTTTTGGAGAATAATTGAAAACCTGTATTGTGAGAAAAAAAAAAAGTTGAAAAAATAATTGCAGTTTGATCACTGATTTGATTTATACACCTTCCACTCGATTTGATCAAAAACCAATTATTTTTTTAACTTTTTTTCTCACATAGTGAAATCAATATATAATAACAGACCCAAAATATGATATCCTGAAAAGAAGCATGAACAATCTTATGAATGACCAAACCAGGTTGAAGTTCAAATATGAATTCATAGAACAGCAACAACTATATGGATGAGCAGCTGCTTCTTTCCTTTCTTCAACTAAATTGGATTTCACAAAGAAACATCACAGCAGCAGAAATTGTTCAATCAACACATGTATCAGAGCTTCTACAACAGGTCCTCCCCCATGGCCACAAAATCATCGATGGCTCGGTAAAGCCAGAAATTCGGAAAATTCCACTAACTAGCCAATTACAGACCCCAACAAAATTTTTCTTTATACGATACAGATAATTTACACAAGCACACCATCAAACCAAGAGTCCAAGACTACAAGTAGTAATTGAAGAGGCCATTTACCAAACACCACCATTGGCATCTTGCCAAGTCTGCGGCCTTATCTTGGGATTCTTGTGAATGGTTTCTTCAGTTTCTTTACTTTTGGTGGTGGTGGTGATGGTGGTTCCGGTGGAGGGAGTACAACACTATCAGCAAACAAGTTTTGTACATGTTAAGACAATCTGTAGGGTTACCTGTACAAAGGGAAACTACCGCCTGACTGCATCTGGGTAAAGCCAAACACCTCAAGCTCTACAAGGCCCCGAATACACAAAGCACTCTTTCTGGATGTTCCAGAATCAGCTCATGTAATTTTCTGCTTTTCTTCATTACCATCAACTTTCGAGTTTCCCCTGCAACAGAATTGCAGAAGAACATTACTTTTGAAAACTAACACACTAGCAGGTACCACCGATCAAAGACCTAATAACTGTGTTACCAACAATTCAAAAGTTAACCAACCCATCACGTTGTTCCAGTGCTTCCATTGCCTTCCCTCAATCCTTGTAGGCACACCTGTAGTACTCTTTGCACACTATCCGCAACCATTCTCAGCCTACCTTGACTAGCATCACCAGTAGAAGAACAATTCACTTCCACCATTCGAGCCACCCTTTGTTTACATTTCTCCCAGTCATCAACTCGCAGCCAGCAAGCCCGGCCACCATGGCTTCCTTCCATCCCCAGAAACAACACATTGGGATTTTCACCAAATGAATATCTCAACCTCACAGAAACACAGTAAGACAACCAAGCTGCACCACCAGCTGCATTTATGTCAGGTATGTGAGAATGATCAAGAAAAACAGTCAGCCCAAAATCAACAGAATTATGGGGGCGATCATAGTGAATATTGCTTTTGGATGCAGACGAATTGTCAAAGTTCCCATCCATATTCAATCCTGCATGGTTTTCAAGGCATAATTCAATACGTGATTTCTGTGGCGGAGCTATATCTCCACCTTGTGCCTGAGCTAATCCTTTCTTCCATGCTATAAGTTTCAAGAATTCTCTTAAAACTGAGATGGGTAAAGTCAGGAGAGTAATGAATGATGCCACACGAGAAGCATCGTAAGGCTCTGATGCAACACGACGGCTAAAATAGTCGCAAATTTCTCCTATTTCAGATTGAGTTAATTCCTCTTGTGCAGTTGCTGAGTTTTGCTGCTGCTGCTGCTGTGAATGATGAAACCTCTTTACACTAAGGACTTGAAGAAGAAGTTGAACTCTGTGTACACTTACGGCAAATACATAGCCCCTACAGGAATACAGGTTAATCAAAATCATGCACATGAACGACATGGTTCCAAAGATAGTATGCCAACCATTGAATAAAATCATATAAAGTGCCTACCAGAGTAAATTATATCCAAGCAGCCCTAAAAATTCCCCTGCAACATAATACAAAAGGATCGGCTACTAAATAATCAATCTTTTTCATAGACTATGCAGATGCATAGAATTTCTATAATTCTTATGTTGTGCATTGTTATGCAGTGTGCAGCCTACTTCCGTGCTCCTAATAGTGTAAAGGAGAAAAGTTCAGTGTCAATCAGCAGCGTATATTGATACTGCTCAATCATAAAAAATACAAGGTAAAACCTAGGAAGAAAATAAATCACGAAATTCCTCTGATGTCTGTATTCAGTGACCTCACCCCAGCAGAGTATATTAATGATACACCATCATCTTTCTCCCATATTCTTCCACCTTTTTGTATCTAAGTTTATAACACTTTTTACCCTCTTTTTTTGAATCAAAATACCTAAATGGAACCTAAATAATAAAAAATTCCTTCTTGACAGTGATATATGTTATATATGTAAATCCTATATGTAAAATTCATCTATTAAAAGGAATAAAAATAAAAAAGAAAAAAGAAGATTCTTGTGCTTTTATGAGGTTTATGTTATCTTCAAACCCCAGGTTTATGTTATCTATACATCCATGAAGTCTAGTGTGATTGGACAACCAGAAATCAGAGAATGACAGCGGCGGTAATTGAGCTACAGATTGATCAATGCCCTAAGAAGGTTAACCAAAGGAATGAGTCACAAGGTGAATTGTAGGCCTCAACAACGGATAAAGTGACCCTACATGGCTAAGCATTTTCAGGGACTAGCCTACTTCCTTCCTGGTTGACTTACAATTCTGCACTTTCTTCTCGAAGTTGAGTAGTTTTCTCTTTATCGCCATTTCTCTGTTTTAAGAACAGTGCCCCACACATATTTGGATAAGGTTGGAAAGGAGGAGATCCTTGCTTTATAAAAGTTCTGTCTTCTTTCTTCCACGGAAAAAGGATGGGATCATGGCCATCACTGGGCAAAGGATGTGATAGCACAAGATTAGAGCAAAAGCCTAAAATGCCATAACGAAATGATAGTTCAACCAATGATGGATTCACCACACATAATGAATCGAGGTACCGAGGAAATCTCCAATGCTAACAGCAGCTGGTGCTCAAGAAACTGTAAAAACTCTGGCATCCATTGATTTTTCACGTTCTAGGATATATGTATGCATTGTTTTTTCACATACATACAACGATTGTTAGAGTTCTTATTTTATATTATTAGAAGTGTAGGGTAATAATATAATTGTTCATAATGTCAGTTTATTATAAATAAGAGTGTAGGACAACATTGCCTACACAACTAATTCTTCTCTTTCTTCCTCTATTTCTCTTCCCCTCAAACCCTAATATTGCATTTACTATTTCAACTTGGTATCAGAACAGATAGTCTGAAACAAAAAATATATATATCAAGTAGCATGGAATAACCAGAACTTCAACCTCTACATTCTGTGTTGACATCATCATGTCAGAGAATGACATCATGCTGTTATTAGCATGACCTCAGAATTTTCCGGTGCTTTTTTTTTTTTGATCCACTATTTCTGGATCTTCTTCTACTAGTGTGCTGCTTGGATCAGCTTCCATGGGTGCCGATTAGGCTTGAGAAGGAGTTTCATACCTGTAGCCCTTTCGCCTGCTGTGTTGATTGAATATGAACCTGTGTCTTTCTCAGGACCTTGTTTCTGGTGTGCTGTTGGCCTTCTGGTTGATTGTTGAAGCCTTGGGGTGTGTCGAGGTTCCGTAGTTTTTGAGGCCTTGTTTTTTGACAGACTGCCTTCGGTTTTTTTTTTTTTTTTTTGTTGAAGCATACCACTGTTCTCCCCGTGTCTCTTGCTGGTTGCCCTTGATTGTTGACACCTTTATTGCTGTTTGGTGTGGGACTGTTTTCTGGTGGATTTTGTGCTTCGCCAGTAGCTGCTTGTTTCTTCTGGGCTTCACCGTGAGCCCTAATTGGTTTTTTGTGTGAGGGTTGTGTAGTGTTCCTGATTGTTGCTTGTTTTCTGTTGGGTTCCACTGTGGGTGCCTTTTGAGTCAGATCTGGGCTCCATTGGTGCTGCTTAGTTGATTTTGCATATGGCTCTGGATTGGTTTTGCATTGTGGTTGTCTTTGTGTTCAATTCGACTTGTTTCGTTGCTTTCGGAGTTGGATTGTTCTAAGACACTCGGATTCGTTAGTCCTGAGTTGTTTACTGGTTTGGGTGATTAGTTGGTGGTGTTTGATAAATTATCTTTTGATTGTTTACTGGTTCGGTGATTATTTTCTACATTAGTTTGTTTGGTTGCTAACTCTTGTTGGATTGCATCTCTAATTGTGGGTGCCTCAATGGTGACTTCAAATGGTTGAAATGGTGTTTGTTCTGGCCGGGGGTCATCACTATATTGTCGTGGCATAGAACATATCAAGAATTATTGTTGGGATAACTATAAGAGACCAATATATACTCATCGGGCTTCGAATGATACTTCTCGAGTATATCAGACTTCTACCAATAGTCCAGTTGCTCCTACTACTGACTCTTATGATATCTTCACTTTCTACACATTTCTCTATTCCTACTACCGGTCTTACTAATAGAGGTAAGTAACCATTCATGTATAGTTGCTCAACCTTCTTGGTCATCTTGGATCATTGATTCAGAAGCTAATACTCATATGTCTAAGTAATTCTTCCCTAGTTTCTAATATTCGTTTGTGTAACTCACGTATTATGTGGGCTAGTAGTTCCTTTCGACCCATACATGGGACTAGCGATCTCCGTCCTACTCAATCCATGCCCTTAAATTATGATTTGTTTGTTTTTAATTTTTCTTTTAACTTGCTATTTGTGAGTCAGTTAACTAAGAGTGCATTTGATAACGTTTTTGTTTTTATGTTTTTTTTTTTTTTAAAAAAAACTAGTTTTATTTTTTGTGTGATAAAAATAAAAAATAGATTTGGTAGTCTTTTATATTTAAAAAATCATGAAAACAAAAATAAAAATCATGTTTGGAATTATACAGAAAATCCACCACCCAATACCCATCACCAATAACCACTTAAACCCACCACCCAACCCCACTGAAACCCACCACCAATAACCACCGAAACCCACCACCAATAGCTACCGAAACTCATCACCCAACCCCACTTCAAAACTCACCACCAACAACCACCGAAACTCACCACCCAACCCCACCCTCAGATCCAAGCAATTTGCTCTCTGACCCAAACAATTTCCTATGTGAGAGAGAGAGTGTGTCTGATTATTGTTGCCACCAACAACCATCAAAACCCACCACCCAACTCCACCCTCAGAACTAAACGATTTGTTCTCAGATCCAACCGCGAGAGAGAGAGAGAGAGAGTATCAGATATTAGGGATGGTCAGTGTTCTTGTTGTTGCCGATGGTCAATGCTCAATAGTTGTCGACAAAAGGAAGACGAAAAGGCAAGAGACAGACAAAGGAGAAAATAGGGCTTTTATAGCTCCAACGAAAAAAACATGTGAATTGTTGCGAATAGAGTTCGAAGGTGAGATCTCATTAAATCTCTTCCGAGGCGCGCGCGTGTTTTGAGTTTTTGATGTTTTTGAAACGTCTTTTTTGTGTTTTCATTTTTGGCCTTATTTTTAAAATAAAGTTGCTATGAAAACGTCTTTTTTGTGTTTTTATTTTGGCCTTATTTTTAAAACAAAGTTGTTAAAAACACATCACAAATACATTTTTATTTTTATTTTTGATAAAAATTAAAAACAAAAACAGCAAGTTAACAACGCAATCTAAATCCTTACAATGTTCAATGACATTCTCTCTGTCTTGTATTTTTCAGGAATTCAAAATAAAAAAGGTGATTGGTGTGGGACATGAACGCAAAGGCCTTTACTACTTAGATCCTCGTGATTCTGTTACTACCTTAGTCCTCTTGTGTCTCCTCTTTAATGGCACTTTCGACATTGTCATCCCTCTTTACTAAAGTCGTGTCAAGTTATCCTTAATTTGAGTTCTTTTTCTGTGTTAGAATCTGAGGCTTGACAATTAAGCAAGCATCACCGTAGTTCCTTGCTAATTCTTCCGGTCAGTCGTCAACCTAGTCCGTTTTATGTTATTCATATAGACATTTGCAGTCCTATAAAAGTCAATTATTTCTAATTTTCAGTATTTTCTAGTGTTATTAGAATCGGACCGGATCGGACCGATTAAACCGTGAACCGAGACCTAAAACGGTCCAGTTCTATAGTTAAACCACATAAGGAAGCAAATCGCCTGAAAACCACTGAACCAGCCATTTTTTTACCAAAACCGCGAACTCGACGTTTATTCAAACCGGACGGTTGGAAATGCAAATCTTATATATAAAAAAAAAAAACCCTTTTTTTGGGGCATTTTTGTCCTAAATCAATTGCAGATTTGCAGCTCAGTGAATCGAACGGTTGGATTTCAGTGGTCTTCATCTTCCTTTGGTCCTCCTCTTTCCTGGTGACAAATAGGCAACTCAGTCCAATGGTGTTTGTTTTCCTTCGTCTTCATTCGGTCCACTGGTGTTCTAGCTTTTTGTCTTCCTTAGTTATCTTTGCCTCTTTAGATCAGAATGGATTGTTTATTGAATTTAACCAAATCACTCTTCTCTCTCTCTCTCTCACACACACACTCATTTACAACACTGACTCACAATTATGGTTTATAACTCTTATATTTTATAATTTTTATCTCTTATATTTTATAATTTTTATAATACTTACAATATTAACCATTAACTGATAATGCTTATAATTTTATTAGTTAAATTATTATATTTTATAATTTTCATAATATTTATTTATTTTTTTAATATACGGCCGATCCGACCAGTTGATCCAATAGTTGAACTAATGAACCATTAACCCGGTTCTTTTACCGGTTCGATTTTGATAACACTGGTATTTTGTTATCTTTGTTATTAATTTATCTCGAATGGCTTGGTTATTTCTTATGAAAGACTGATCTAAATCGTCTCATGTTTTTACCACTTTTATATTGAAATTCTAATTCAATTCGATATCCGTATTAAAGTTTTTCAGTCTAACAAGGCCCTTAAGTATATTCAATCATTTATGAAAAACTTTTGTGCAGACCGTAGCCTTGTCCATCAAACTACATGTCCTCATACTACCCAACAAAATGGCTTCATCGAACAAAAACATCATCCGTTGGATATTGCTCACACCTTGATGTTTAATATGCATATGTCAAAACTATATTGGGCTAACGTTGTTCTTACTTAAGTTTATCTTATTAATCGCATGTCTTCACCTATTTTGGACAACAAATCTTCTTTGTCATTACTTTATCCTGATAGACTGTCATTTGGACTCACTTCTCGTGTATTTGGTTGCATTGTATTTATTCATCTTCTTGGTATATCGTGCTGATATTACCTTTTTTGAGTCATCATCTTTCTTTTCTGCATTATGAAGTACACTTTTACCAAACTTAGTCTTTTCGGAGCCCTTGTTATCAGTTATACTGGACTATGTATCTTCTTTTTCTTCCTTGACTATTTACACCTTCCTTGCAGGTTTATCATTGTTCCAAGGACAGACAGGTTGTTCCACATGCTCCGGCTCCAGAGCAATCGCCTAATTCCACTGAGGTCTTGCCTTCTGAACCATCAGCTAGTTCATCCTTTTCCGATTTGCCTATTACTTTGAGAAAGAGATACCCATAACTGCACTAAGCATCCCATTTCTAATTTTGTGTCTTTGTGTCAGCTAGTTCACCCATTCGTTATTTTATATCAATTTTGTCTTGTGTATTTATTCCTAACTCTTTGAACCAATCATTAATATCTCTCGACTGAAAACTAGCTATGAATGAGGAAATTAAATTCTTCATGGGAATCAAACGTGATTTTACTGCTCTTCTTTCCGATAAGCAGGCTATCAGTTGTTGTTGGGTCTATACCATAAAGTATTATCCCAATGGTTCAGTTGAACATTTGAAGGCTCGCTTGATTGCCAAAAGCAACACCGAGACATAAAGGGTGGATTTATGTGATACCTTTTCCCCTATTGCTAGTCTCAACTATGTTGAGAGTTTTTATTTATAATGTAATAACTTGTGATTGGCTCTTGTATCAACTAGATATCAATAATGTTTTTTACATGGAGGTGTATATGATGCAGCCTCTAGTTTATATTATATCTAGTAAGGAACAATTAGTATATCGTCTAAAGAAAATATTATATAGCCTCAAACAATCATCACGTGCTTAGTTTGATAAGTTCAGTAATGTTATATTTCAATATGGGTTTCCACGTTCTACTTCAGATCATTCAATTTTTGTTTGCCGCTCTACCAAAGGTGTTATTATTCTTAGTGTAAGTAGATGACATTATCATTAGTGAAAATGACTTAAAAGAATGTATCAATTTGTGCCAATGGAAGTATGTATTGGATTTATTGTCTGAATCTGATTCTTCCCAAGGACTTCACAGTTAAATTAGATACTAAAGTAGTGAAACTTTTGATGATGTAGGATGTTATCAAAGTTTGACCGGTAAACTAATTTACCTCGTAGTTACACATCCTAATATTACTTATGGTGTTGGCGAGGTTAGTCAATTCATACATTCTCCTTGTAAGTCTCACTGGGAGGCTATTTGTTGTATTATTCGGTATTTGAAAGGAGTACCAAGTAATAGATTATTATATCGTTCTTCATCATCAATGACCAATAATGATTTTTTTTATGTTGACTTAGCAAGTAACCGTGTTAATAGACGATCCATTTTCAGTTACTATACATTTATTGATAGTAATCTTGTGACATGACATAGCAAGAAACATAATGTAGTTGCACGCTCGAGTCAAAGGCTGAATACCTAGTCATGGCTCGTACTGCGTGTGAGACGACGTGGGATCTTTTTTTACTTCATTATATGGGTATCAACATGCCCACTCCTATGAAGATGTATTGTGACAACCAATTAGCTATTTTCATTGCCAACAGATTGTCATTTCATGAAAGGACTAAACACATTGAAATAGATTATCATTTGATTAGAGATCTCCTAATACGAAAAGAGATTATCACACCATACATCAAGTCTAGTGAACAGTTGAATGATATTCTTACCAAACAATTAGCTCGATTTGTCTTCACTATTCTTTATTCCAAGTTGGACATCGTTGATCTTTATGCTCCAACTTGAGAGAGAGTGTTAGAATTCTTATATCATATTATTAGAAGTGTAGGGTAATAATGTAATTACTCATAATGTCAATTTATTATTAAAAAGAGAGTGTAGGGAAACATAGTCTACACAACTAATTATTCTCTTTCTTCCATCTTTCTTCCTTTATTTCTCTTCTCCTCAAACCCTAATATCGCCTTTACTAAGTGGGAAAAGGGAGGAAGGGGGACATGAGAGACATCCAGGTCATCATTTAACAGAATATTGGCTGAAATTGGAAAACTGCATTTGCAGTCAAACGAATCAGTAAATGATTTGCAGGCATATCCATTAGGAGACATCAACCAAAAGCCGGCACAATGCAAAAAATTTCACAGGGACACTAAGTGAAGAAAACAGACAACTGAAGTCTCCAAAATATTGAACAGAAAACTACTTCTAACATATGAAAATATAGGCTTATGGTCTTACCCCACGAAAAAACGCAAAGCTGGCTGCTCCTGATCAAGATTTAGCAGTGCACCTTCATTGTCCTTCAGAATTGATCCGAGGATCTCTTTCAAAAGTTCTGGTAACTGTGCAAATAGCCATAGTACTCCAAGATACTTGAGAATACCTCTAAGAACCTTCTTCAGAGCCAGTAGCGGAACCCATCCACCACCATAGCCTCCATCATCCCCAAGTCCAATAATGGCAGTGTTCAGTTCTCCTCTCACATGAGCAGGGACACCTGCTCCAGGTGATCTACGTAAAGGCATCCCTGAGCCTACCACAGCCAAATTCGAGGATGCTGAGAGACCATTACTTACACGATTAAGACCAGTTACTTGGTTTCCTGAACGAGACAGTCCAGCAGAGTTTGGGAGGTTAACTTTGTTTCCGTTGGAAGCTGGCAACTGTGGGGCTGCACTTGGATTTGAATTGTTTGAATTTGCCAGTGCAACTGTCTGTTGAGTACCCGTAAAATTAGGGTCTATGCCATTCAATTCCTGAGCAACGTGCTCCATAATGAAAGGGCGAAACTGTGGACAAGGTAATGATCCTCCAACTGAAGGACCTCCCTTTGGCGGTGTAGCAGGTTGCAACCAAACCTGATCTCCGGCAAAACACCGCATGTCGACTGCAAAATTTTTTCGGTATATGATCCGAATCCAGTATGGGCCACGCAGTACAACAGAGACATCAATTGGCAACAGTGAGCTAGGAACAATGCCAGGGCCACCTCTCCCTGCAGCAGCGGCAGCAGCAGCCAACATTGCAGCACCAGGATGGTTGAGAGTTCCAAGGGGACCTGCAGTGGTAGATGCCCCAGGATTCCCTCCAGTACCAGATGAAGCCTGATTGATATTTGCAGTTGCAATGCTTGGCAAGTGCCCCTGAGATGGCATGTAGCCACTCTGTTTTGGGACAGCGGAAACAGAAGCTGCAACACCAGGGACCCCAGAAACAGGAGCAGCTCGCGCAGGGCGTGTTGCAGCTGCAAGAGCATGCAAGGGTCCAGCAGTAAGGCGAATGCAATCCAAAAGTGATGCAACTTCAGCTCCATTAATGAAGTCTTCTAGAAACTGTAGAGGGAAAAGAACAAATGCATGCCATTACAATTGGCAGTAAAAAGGGGATCCAAGGAAAGTTCTATAGAATTTAATTATCAAATCAACATAAAACCAGTCCCAAAAGAACACGAAAACAGACTCTGAAACTCATACAGCATGAAATTATTCACGGAAGTGTAAACAAAAAACGAAAGAGGAAAGTTTCTTGTGTCTTGTTGACAATTATCAAAGTTTTGGACCATTACAAGATGGTTGAGCAGGTTCTACTGTAGCCTAACCCCAGCCCCCACCTAGGCCTAGTATTGTCAATGCAGGAGTAGGACCATCATTCGGGACAATCTGGTCACGTGGGGACTTTCAACCACAATGATGTTACGAACAGATCACAAAGTTTGTGAATAGAAATAGATTATAATTGACCTGACTCATCCATATAAAATTGAGTGAGAGAGAGAGAGAGAGAGAATTGGTTGGGTTTTGGAAGTGGTATGCCATTCAGCAAAACGGTCCTGCAATTTTCTGGAGAAAAACTCTATAACAAGGCTCAAATAACAACATCCCTAGATTTTAATAAGCTCTGCACCCCACAAATCTTGAAGAAGACCTCCTGGACTAACAAAATTACAAAAATATAGATTACGTCTAACAAGCAGCATATGAACTTAAAACTGTAATAAGATAAGTCTCAGCTCATTCTTATGCATGTCTTCAAGTTGATTGCAAACGTAATTATTTATTTATATATCCTGATATCTAACATGGTTATTTTCTAAATGGTTCAAGGTGTTTCTAAAATCGATTTGTGTCAATAATTCTATTTCACAAGGAGAATAGATGCAATTGAAAAGACCTAAAGATCAGGTTGTTTTAGAAAAGATTGCAAGGTAGAAATTGTGACACACATGGGCATGCTTAATACAAGACACTGCACAATAAAAGAGTGATGCAATAGCTATCAATGATAGAGTGAGGTATGGATATAGACCGAAATTAACTTTCAATGAGCTAAAAAAAAGGTACAGCAGATGGCAGTTGTAATAGAAGGTATAACCCTTGATAGGGCACAATGGCTGAACAGAATTCATGGAACGATCCAAATAATTGGGGCAAGGCTCAAATGAGTTGCATTGCAGAATTTGACAAATGGTTACAACCTACAGCACTAGTGGTATAAAAAGATCTGATATTTGAAGTTTCCACCTAGGTTTTCTCCCTCCGATCACAAACTATCGACAAATTTCGATATAGATATAGACCAAAATTAACTTTTAATGAGCTAAAAAATGGTATGGCAGATGGTAGTTCAATAGAAGGTATAACCCTTGATAAAGCAAAATGGCTGAATAGCATTCATGCAACGATGCAAATAATTGGGGCAAGGCACAAATGAGTTTAGTTGTAGAATTCTGCAATGGTTACAACCTACAGTTCTAGTGGTATAAAAAGAACAGATATTTGAAGTTTCCTCTCTCTCTCTCTCTCTCTCTCTCTCTCTCTCAAACACCGATCACAAACCATCAACAATCAGACTTCTCTTTGTTCTCTTTAAGAAGGCTTCTACACCCTGACAAAAAGAATAGCTTAAAGAATTTTACCAATTTACAGACCAAAAATTCCTTCAATTTTTTAAGTTTTTTTACTAACTTTGATATTATTTCTATCATTACATTTGACCTAAAGGAGTTGATGGGAAACAATTCAAACTTAGCTTAAACAAATTTTCTCCATGTAATTCTTGCACAAACTTATCATCCATCCAGGCAAACAGTATCGGATTCACAGCTTTGCGCCTAATGGGGGTTCATAGGTTTGACTTAGCAATAATCATTCCTATTACCATTATCAAAAGTCATAAAAATTTGATAAGATTTGAACATTAACTAGCATACTATACAAACCCAACTTACAAGCGGGCCAACACAAGTTTTTAACCAAAAATTATATTTTGACAAGTAATTAATAATAATCTAAGAAGCACGGACACGAACATAAGACACGTATACGATATGACATAGACACGCAAACACGATATTCTTAAAAAAAAAAAAAGTCAAGGCTTAGATACATTAGGGACACGCTACAAATAATTATATGTTATATATAAAATTATGTGATAATGATACACTATTCATAAAAAATGTAGCATTTTATAATAAATAAATGTTATGTCTAGTCTTCTAGTGTGAATTTTTTGACTAAAGCATCATAATAGTCAAATAATCATTATTTTTTTTTGTGGACAACATGTACCCAACATATACAGGTTAAATGATAGCTCTAATATTTTCAATTTCTATAGTTAAAATTTTTTATGTATTTTTCTTTTATTATTATATTTTGAGTACAACTTTAACATGCCTACTCAGGATAATTATAAGTTCTCTCATAGCATAACAAACTTATTAGTCAAATTTTTAAGATTTTTCAGTCACATGTCAATACAGGTTTATTGTTTAGTAGTAGACACGGTCTAAAAAAGTGTCAGACACATGCGTAAAACTAAAATTTTATTAATTAATTATGAACACGGATAAAAAAATATTGGGACAAGTGTCCAAGAGTGTGGGTGTCCAACACGGATAAGTCACTCCCTTGAGAGTGTCCGTACTTCATAAATAATTATACCGGAGATCCATTAAGGATAATTACATGCAATATATAAAAGTTAGCTAGACTATCCTAACAAAGAAAATGCTCACAAGAATATCACCCCATTCTTCAGGCTCATCCTGAAACTACTGGAAAACCAGTAACAATTGTTGCAGCATGATATTCAGTTACATAAAGGGTGTGAATGCTTAAAAATATATAAAATTCAAGGTTGGATGCAGGCAAGATAAGACTACTGGCTCATGCCATCTCAGTCAAAATGCACATGACATCACATGTTTTTCAGAAACTCAGGTGGATTATCAAAGTTAAAAGATTAATAGTGAATTGGTCATATTAGATGTTTTAGCATGTTCCCTGGAAACAACTGTCTCAACAGAAACACTTTGCTCCTTTGTTACAGAGGGCTTTCCATAAACTTAGCATTATATGAAGACCTTCAAGAATTCACACATCAAGTTGCAGGAAAAACGGACTTTTTTTTTTTTGATGGGTAACAAAGATTTTATCAATAATAAGAAATAACTAATACAAAGTGAAAGCACGGGGAAAAAAGTAGTCCACACCTAATACAAAACTAACATAACAGTCCTAAACGGACTGAATTCTGTTGCTAAGTTCTCCAGTTAGTCTTTAACATTATTTCTCCATCACATACTTTGCATAAGCGATACAAACTAGACACTATTTAAATACTATTTCTATATTATTCTTGATGTAGATGCCCACTACTAAGTAGCTAAAACGAAGAACTAAATTTCTAGCTGATAATCCCCGTCTATACCTTCCATATCCGGACCTAACTCTGAAAAAGGGGTAAGCAACGTAGGATGATGAGCAAACAATATTGTCAGTAGGATAATTTTTCACAAATACTGTCAAGGATTTGGAAAACTATATATATCATAGATATTTAGATAATATCCAAAATAGGGAGTTCAAGAAATTGCAAGATGTATTGAGAATCATAGGAATTTATCAAAAAATCATAGGAATGCAACACATATCAACTATGATGATCAAACAATAACCAGTTCATGCATGAACCATCTCCGAAGGAAACTACGTTCTTTCACCCTAGGGAACTTGATGACCTTGCTTTTAGGCAAAACATTACTGAGAAGAAAAACAGTACTGAGAATTCTGTGGCACAATACAGGCAACCACCGGCCTCTGAAAAGGACTAGTAGGAATTATGTGCATTCTCACAAGGACAACAACATCTACTACACTTGTATTAAATCTTGTACCATTTAATAGGATACGTAGAAATTCTATGCATCCTCGTAAGGACTATGACAACTACTCTCCTGTACCATCAACAGTAGTAGTGCGACTTCGGTGCATCCTTGCAAGGACCATGACATCTAATATCCGTTTCATCAATAGATTGCAATGAAGTTTTTAAGATCTGTCAGAAATAATAAGAATATGGTTGTTTAAAAAAAGATGAGGTATTTTTGAAAAAAACCAATCAAATATTGTATCATAAAAGAACAATGGTCGAAAAACAACATTTTCATATCAAAATAAGTTCAAAACATATGATATGTGAATTAAGTGCAAAACGAATTTAGGTTTCAGCCTCAAAACATCGAATTTGTAAAAACAAAGTTTTTTCATAAAAATCCTAATTTGGCCCATGGAATCCCACAATTGAAGTTTTAGTACTCATATAATCAAAATAGATTTGATACGGAATCCCAAAACATGCATTAAATGCATCAATGAAAGTGAATGAGAAAAGAAAACCTACCTTAACTCAGTTCCTATTCGGATCGACACCGAATGCTGTCAAAGTAAAATAGACGTAATATTCTTAGATCCTTGATATAGTTAGGTGGTTAGATCCTAATTAACCCAAGAATCTAGAATTGAAAAATTCATAAGTATGACATCCGAACTTACTCTGAAATCATGCAAAAAATGGAATTGAGCAAACCAAAGCTTGAGGGAAAGCCCATGAAGAGAGGAGTATTTTGATAGAACCCTAGGGAGTGTCTCAGGCGCTGGGGTGGGCTGGGTTCCAAAACATTGTTCACTGTCTTCTACCTCCACCTAGGTCATTTTTTCACTATCTCCCACCTTTCTCAACCATCTTGAGTGATTCAAAAGCCAGAATCTGGCTCTTTGAATCCTCTACACATTCGGCTCAAGTTTGAGCTAAATCTGTTCCCCAAAAGCTACAAAATTCAAGCTCCAAAGTTGCAGCTTCCATGGTCGTTGCCTGAAGCTTCTGCAACTTCAAAATTGACCTACCTAGCATTGTTTTTTTTTTCTCAAAATCCACCCCAAAAATGAATTCTTCATCCCCAAAAACCTTAGGAATGACCCTCCTTACGACTCAACCCAAAATCAAGAAAACCTAAAATTTCAAGTTTAAGCGATTTTCGGGTTTCGGCCGCTTTTCACCCACCCAAACTCGAAAGTAAAGACAAAAAACATTCTTAGAGGTTCCAAAAACTTTACCCAAGCCTTGATGAAAGAATTCGAGCTTCGAAATGGGCAGAACCTCACTTTCCCTTGCTTTCCTCCTCTACGATTCTCTCTAATCTCCACTGGTTTGTGCTTCCAATCCAACTGCCCAAGCCTTCTTTTATAGAGCAAACAACCTTGAGGACCAAGGTTTGTCAATGGATAAGGATCACCATGGAGAAGACACCTCCCCAGAGTTTTTTTCCACATTTTTGCCCAATTTCAAATTTCATTTTTTTATAATCTGATTTCTCCTAATTAGACATTTTTTTATAATCTGATTTCTCCTAATTAGACTTTAACCCCCTTCTATCCTAAACCCTAATATTACTTAAGAATTTCCCTAATTCAAGCTATACTAACTGTCAAAAACTACCCTTCCGACCCTAATTTCACCAAACTACTTTGTCGATTCTTCGAATCAAGAAAACTCTTATTTCTATTGAGTCAAACATTTCTCAATTCATTCTAAACTAATCCCCTTACTTCTCAAATTAATTTCCTATGTTGGACCAAACTAAACCTTTGATCAAAAAATATCGATATGACACTAACCTTTTTTACATTTTTAGTTCCTAACCTAAGATTAAAAATGAAGAAGAAACGAACCTTGGTATGAGGCCAAAGCTGGTCAGGGGAAACATGCATCGTGCAGCCCTCTTTACCTGATTCCCATTCAACAACAAAGCGAGCAAGGACTCCAGGGCCAAAACAGAACCACAAGCTCATCAGTCCAACTGCCTCAATTCTAAACGCCCTTCTCATTTGTTCTGAAAACTTATCAGCAACCTCAACAGCACCTTTCACTCCACCTGGCACTTTAACATCAGAATTTGCATTGTTTTCTTCCACTTTCTCATCAGACCTAACACCGAGTAGTTTCCGCATTCCGAGGGAAAATATTCTAGCATTAGAAAGCCTTTGGATATCCGCAACTAACTTCTTAATACTATTAGCCTCCACAGAATGGTAACTCAGAACAACACCTTCGGAATCGTAACGGATATGAGAATCTGCATCAGAAGTGTTAGCAATCTGAACACCAAAACCCCAAGGAGTACTATTGCCCCCTTTCTGAAGTTCCCACAAGTCCCTGAAGTGCTGGTCATTGATTTTGACATCCCAATACATGCTTCCAGGTCGACCAAGTCGCAAGCATATATGTGGCCAGGTATCATTTGTGGCATATGGGAGTCGAAACCATAAGTTCGAGGATGCATTTCTTAAACCCACTTCTTCGACAAAAGGAATGTCAAGTGCCTCCATCTGACTAGTTAGTCGGGCATGCTTGATACAAAGTGAACAGTGCCTGATAACATGAAGAAGTGCTGAAATATATATACTTGAGGGTGCATTGCCTTTATTTGCATCAGCTATAAGATTCGCATAACTATATCCCTCAGTTTTTCCAATAATTTCTGATGAAATGAGTTTCTGTGCTGAAGGCTGGTGGATGCTAGCTGACTCAATGATTTTCCTTCTCTTGCAAAATCCTACATTGGACTCTAAACATTGGAGTGACGGGATCAAATTTAACATATCTGATACTGTATGCTTTTTTGATGTTTTATCATGTCTAGGAACAGCATCATCAAGACTTGGGCTCGGACAAACTGTGGAATCCAATGCTTGACCTGGAGGGAACAAAATGACTTTTTCAAAAATAAAAATTGCACTTAGCAGAAAAAGAAACTTCTTTACTGAAAAATGAAAAGTCTTTTAAAATAGATGAGCTCGAGTAGGTGATTTACACATGGGAGTTGTAACCAACGAGCTAGCTCCAGGTACTCGAGAAGATCCAGCTAGAGCCCCATCAGGCGAGTGGCTGTGCCTGTTTGCTTTTGCAATTGATGCGGAAACCCGAGAGCCAGTTGGTCGGATAGAAGATAGGCGAGCTGAACGATTACCGGATACATCAAGCTGATCTTCGTCCATTATGGTATAAGAACCAACTCCAGCCGTATGTGGAGACCTAAGAGAAGCCAAATCCTGATCAGATTTTGAAGCTGATAGTTTCTTCATAGTCATGCTCCTTCCTGGGCCAGAGGATATTGAGTTGACAGAACTGGACTGTATCATGCCCTTCAAATTGCTTGATGCATAAATGGAACCATTGTAATTGGGTGCTACACTAGAAACTTTTGTGACATTATTCAGCAGTGATACCTGTGTTCCTCCCTCCCACTTAGGAGAGGATGTTCCAGATTTCATAATATGAAGATTCATTGGAGCAGAGCCATAATGAGAAACAGGAGAAGCATTACCCATTGAAGAAACAGTCTGAACAGAGAAAGAAGGGACAGACGACCCTCTCTCAAGCTCGAACACTTCATCGACAATAGTGGTAAAACTTGATGGAAGACCAGAACTGTGCATAGAACCTTCAAGGCTGAACTCAGAAAGAAGACCAAGTTCAGAAGTCTGATTACTGCCCAAATCACTAGACAAAAATGATTTCAACTTCCCACTGTCAAGAAGGCTCAAATTGAGATCATCTTCGAGCATATGCATCTCCCCAATATCAACATCTTGTGCTCGAATCACATGATTTAAGTCACCAAAAGATTGAGCTTTCCCTGACTGATCTGGCTGAGTCTCTAGTAATTTAAAAAGAGGTTTAAAATCCTTGTCAAGTTGCATCAGCAAAAAATAAGAGCTCCCACATTCTGGGAATCCCATTAGCAAAAAATTCAACCCATTCAAAAGGCTTTTTGGCACCTTCACAGTAGAAAAGTCATGTTCATACACCTGCAAGAATAAATGGTCATGCTTTATTCATTCGATGATACAATATAGAAAATATGAAATGGTAAATAGAATGACACATCGTGTAGTAAGGAATACAAACAAGAACACTCCTTGGATTTTCAGAAATATCATTACAATCCCCTCTCGTTCATATTCTCATTTCATACACCACCTCTACTGTTAGCCCCTTAGCAGTATGACAAGACTAGGGCTACAGGTGAGTTGCCCAAGGAAGCCCCATGCCAAGGTCAAGATAGGGGCGTGCTTGCCTAAGCAACCCCAACGACTAACACGGCTCTTAAAATGCTTGAATGTGTATTGGCGCGGGTTTGTAAGTGTTTGGAACCATATTGGTCAGTGATCGGCTGTTTTGGTTGCTGGATGGTGCACAGTTGCATAGCCGACAGGCCCACCGATAGGGCGATCGGGCAAAACCACGAAGTCAAAGTCAGGTGCAGCAATGGCAGTACCATTATATTTCCTCACATCCTTGATGACCATTACTGGCACTTGAGTTTTTCTTCTAAATGCATATATAAGGGAGCAAGGGTCTCCCTAGGGCACTTGGGCATGGCAAACCCCATGTACCGAGCCTTGGAAAACTAAAGTAAGGCACGACACCAAGATCCTTGCCACAGGTTGAAACAAGGCACACAAGTTAGAAACCTGAGAAAATGTGAGACCATAGCATTTGTGGGACCTGTTGCTATGAAAGCCCCACAAATGGCTGAGGGAGGCCACACATTGTGGGCACGATTAAGCATGTTGAGGCAAAGCAAAGCATGGTGGTGTGGGCCTAACAAGGGTGTTCTTGCACACTTTGATGAGCAAGCCATGGGCTAGGCATGTCTTGGCACATTGCCACAGTCAAAATAGCATGTTGAGCACAAAAGAATGGCATTGGCTTGACTCTGCAAGTAATTATGAGCAGTTGGTAGGTTACTCATGACGCGGTTATCAAGACACAACACAACTGCTCCAGCATGTTTAGATTACATCTGATTGGGCAGAAGCTTAGTGGTTTGTAGGAAAATCTCCCCGGACCATGGTTGCATGTTATGCATTGTGTCAGCACACCTACCAGTTAGGTTTGTCAACTGCAACACAGTTGGCCTAGAGTGGTTGATGGCAGCATTGCCTAGGCAGTAGGGTTATAACTGTCATCATAGGCTATAAATAGGTTGTCAGGATCTATATAATGCACCAAGAGAGAAAGGGTGTATACTTAGTAAGCAGTCCTTATCGGGCATTCCTTGTGCTTGGTTTTAAGAAGTAAGGGTTGGGGCATCGTCCTGCTGCCCCTTACATCACTTAACATACATTGTTGGCTCATGTCAAATATTAATATAATAAAAATCCAAAAATATTATACCTAAAAAATTGCTATCTCGATAACATAACCAAAAATGGAGAAAAGAAAACCAAATGGATCAAAAACTAAATAAAAAACCATAATAATCATATCCCTAATTCAAAAATATCATAACTATTTTTTCTTAACAATTTGACTAGATGATACAAAAAATAAACAAATATCGATTCTAAGATTTTTTCATCTTTATCTGAATTAGGAAGAAAAATTAATATTGATATTTTGACAGAGTAATATCACAAAAAGACAAGGGTAAGACTGTAAACTTGACATTTTCTTTATAACTTTTGCTCAACAAAAACTAACTAGTATGTCAATGTATATTAGAAAATCAAAGGAGTATCCCTGTATTTACAGCATAGACAATATGGATTTATATAATTCGTCAGCCCCCATAAGTAAAACCTTAGTCATAGTAGCTCTCAGACCCAAATTAACGGACTCACATTGAAATCACAGAATCAACGAAGGCATTCCTATCAAGCTGCCAAGTTCTCCATGTGATGAGTAAGATTGAAGTGCTAGCAACCAAACAGCAAACCATTATACATATGACCACAGGTTGTAGTTTTTGTGAAATATAAGAGAATAGAATTTTAAGAGTATTGAAGCCTATTTTTAGAAAATGCTACGGAGAATGTACTGTTATCAGTTTCCATTAATGTCTTTCTATGAACACCAATGGCCATCAATTTTGATATTTTATTTCTTGTTCATTTCTGTAGGGACGATTCTAGTTTGCAGAGCTCTCATCAATAACAATTCCTCATAAATGCACCATCCCTTATTTACTTTTTTATACCACGTTGAAAATACTATAAGGAGCAAATACATCAAGGATGGGGAAACGTAATACAATCATCCCCGACAAGATTAAACACGTGAAACTATACTAGCACACCCTAGAGAGGGGTGGATAGATCTTTGACACTTCCTGCAGAAACCTACAATAATTTAGACCTATCATAATCAACCTCAATTACCAATTAATCAATTGATTTGTGAATTAATGCTTAATAAACCCTTTTGAACAATGAACAATCCCTCAATGAATGTGTGGATGCAAGATATCTAAATGCAACACTCTCCACCAACAAACAAATCCACCATTTTTATCCCTCCAAATGCCCTTCCACGGTTCCACCGATTCAAACCAAATTGATGATGTTCAAGATATAGTGATCATTCAACCAAATCATCAAACACATTTTTTTTTTGTTTGCACAGGGGGGAAGTAATTGCGTGTGTGTGAAGCAAAAAACAATCAATCACAACATGAAAAAAATTTAACTTGAAAATGCTCTCGAGAAAAACCATAGGACCATTCCACCTAAATCTAATCCACTATACTCAAAATTGATTATAAGGAAAAAGACTTGTACCTCAACCAAAACACACGTGACTATATGCTTTCTTCCCTTGAATCTAACCCTTTGAAATCACCACTGCGAGGTCATGAGCTATATATTCACTAGGGTGAATCGAGCTCTATGATCCGAATTGGTCTCTTTCGATCTTCAAGGACTACTCAAGATCTACTCAGTCATCAACACACAAGATATGGTTTGGTGGACTTTTACAAAATCTCTCTATTCTTCTTGATTTAGCCTTGAAGTGTGAGATTTATCAAAGTAGGTTGATCTTGGGATTCTTAAGGATCTAGGGTTTGTTCTCAGCTCTCTAGTATAGATAAGAGGTTGTTTAAGGCTTAAGTTCAAAGGCAATTACCAATGAAATAAAAAGAATCAAACTAGGTTAGTTAAGTACGATCAGCCAAGCGAATCGTCTCCACTGCCAATTGATTTGTTTTTTCCAAATTTTTTTCAAGTGTTCAAAGACAGCTCTATCCGGTGACCAAGGAATAGAGGATGGTCACTACTGGTTTCTAAGCCGAAAATCAAGCAAAAAACTAGTCCTATTGAACACTAAAGGGTGTTGCTCAATAAGAATCTGATCTATGACTCAATCTATGTTTTCAAAACAAGTTTTGACGTTTCAAAAGTATTTTCAATAAAAAGTCCCATGAGTCACATATGGATTTATTCTAAATCCATTTTATTAAAACCTAAACCTTCCCTAATCTTTAAAGGATTTTGGGAGGTTTTCATGATGTGGCTCGAAGCTTGAACTCCTTTCTTCTTGTAGTTTCGGATCTTGAATTTTGTAGCATCATAACCATGAATTTAGTTGAGATTTACATTGTGCCTTCAGGGAATTAATCAATTACAATAAACAATTTCCGAACAAAGGACCTATGCATCCCAAATATGGTGAAGATTTTATGTGTTATTGATGGACCAACACATTCTGAATACTTTCTAGATTTCATGCGCGATTCAAAATATTAGCGTACATAAACAAAAATCTAATATACTCTTTCAGAATTGTAATCCAGAAGCAAATGATAATGATTATGAAGTGTGGTGGAGACTACCAAGAGAATTCATACATCAGAACACTTGTGCAACAAACGAAGTTCAACACATCGAATTCCTCACCTGAAAAATGAAAGAAAGCAACACAAAAACAGATATTTACCTCAAGGCCTAAAAACCTGCCAATACAAGCAAATAAGTGCAAAATACTTTTGCTTCTCAAGCTTATAAACACCTCAGCTGCAGTCATGCTTCCCTGGTTCAAAGCTTCTTCACATTCAAGCAGTGCCAAAGATGTAATGATATTCTTGGATGAGTGAAGAAGAAAGCGTCCATTCCTGTACGCCAAAAAGGGGAACTAAGGCCTTTACTCAAGAACAAAGGTGAGCCATAAAATCAGGGAAAAAGAGTTAACAAATAAAAGGTGAAAATAAACACACAAGCATATACATGGATAGAGAGAATCTTCAGAAGCCTATTTATGCCGCTGCTGGTCTTTGGAAAAAAAGTTTTTTTGTGCCAATTATTTTGGAAGGAAGACAAACAGTAGAAACACATTCAGAAACACTAGTGTCAGAACAAAACAAAAAAAAAAAAGATTCAGAAACACCAGTGTCAGAACTAAAAAAAAAATTCAGAAACACCAAGGATGCCATCAACAACATCAACCAATGATTACAACGATTGGTATATCAAAACTAAAAAGGAAAAAAGAAAAACAGAATGCATACATTTACAACAATCCTATGAAAATGCCTAACAGACTAAATAGCACACAACTCAACAACTTATTCTCATAATTTAACAAGTATGATTGCCCATGGGAGGCATACATGTACGGATCAGCCGTGGTCTTACAGAACATCACATCAGTTTTCTGGAATACTTGCGGCAACATGCCAGATACTTCCTAACCATACCATTCAAATAGATTGTTGCTTTTCCAAGATATACCTGATACTCTTCAAATGCTTTATATACCTGTCCCACATGCCTCAGCCATTGACGTATGGCATCAGTGCACAATAGCAGATTAATGCAGGATGGGCCAGGTGTGTTTCCTTTCGTCCAGGGGAACTGAGATTATTAGGGTTCAAACATTCGGATCATGTTTCAAATAAGAAGTGCAATGTGATGTGGGTTAATCATGTCAAATCTAGTCGAGAATTTGTGATCATGAAATTAAACACAAATTTGGAAGTGAATTTTTGTCTTAGTTCAACTAGGCTATATCGAGTTGATTGAAGAACTAAAATTATTGATTTTCATATGTATTTATCGTTACGATCCCTCCATAATATCAATGTCCTATTTTTTTCAAAATATTTGTGCTCTGGCACATTGTACAATGTTATCTTGTCCTCGCACATCCTCATCACATGCTTCAAGATCAGAAAAAACCATCAGCACAAACATGTTACTACTCCGGAAGCCCTACCTCTCCTTACAACTTGAAAGAACTCAACTTTGTATTTAAGCATGTCAAAATGACAAATCCTCTTGGTGGGGATTTCAAACTTTCTTATGATAAGTTTCCTTCAATAGATTTTTTTTATATATATACAACCATGGGTAAACATGACTCAACCCCTGTAGATTGTGCCATACCTTGCCCTAATGACAAGGACATCCTCAAGGTTTTCCAAAATATCATTGCACTCAATTATAATTCATATCTATTTCATATAGTATCCTGTCATTAGAAACATTACCGATAGGTTCAAAAAGTGATAAGCCATGCAATATTCCTCCTTTAATGACAATGTTGGATAAATAGATCTCAAATAAATCGGTCCCAGAATTGATGGATGATGGACATCGTCTTACCAATGTGTATGCTTACAAGACAATGATGTTGTTCACATCCAATTTATCAACATAAAAAAATGACTCTTCTATTAGGAAAAATGGTTTTGGTATTTGACCGTAAGGCTAATAAACGAAACGAGTAGCTTGAGCTCGACTCATTAGGGGCTCGTTCAAACCCGCTCGAATTCAATAAATGAACCAAATATGAACAGAAATTTGGGCTCGTTTAAAAAGTAGCTCGAGCCCGAGCTACACGGGTGGCTCGTTTTGGGCTTGGTTGTTTATTCCCATTCTTCGCTCTTGTCTTTTAGTGGTCCAATTTCAGCTGTTCATCTCAAACCCTATACCAAGTTGAGGGATAAGATGAAATGAACTTAACCTACCCAAACCAATGCACTCAAAGCCAAAATCCATCACTAGAGGCACTGACAGTGAGATCAAACCTCTTATTCTTTGTCATCATTGGCTGCAGCGCGCGTTCTCACTCTCTCTGACCCCTGTCATACAATGCCTTCTATCTTCTCCCTCTTCAAATTCTGTCTTTATTTCAAAAACTATAAAAGTTTTTGTCTTTTTCGTCCCATGGAGCTCGCGATTGCGTCGTGCTCCTCTCTGTTTAGAATCTGCTGCTTGTTCTTGGAGTTGAACCAGACCATCACCGCCACAGCTTCTCATAACCATCAATAACACCATTATGAAATAAATTTTTAACGGTAAGTATCTATTCCCTCACTCTAACAATTATGAATTGTTTTGGTAAACTAAATGTAGGTTGAATTTCATGGTTTATTTTATATATTTTTTAGGATTTTGAAGAGAAATTGAGTATTTTAGGTCTAATTTTTGGGATTTTTCGTTTGGAAACTAAAGCTCATTTTCGGCTCGAAAGCTGAGCTTGAACAAACTATTGGCCTCAATAGTCAAGCTCGAGCCGAATCTGAGGATGGCCACTTGTAAACGAGCCGAGCTTGAGCATAGTCAAGCTCGGCTCGATTATCACCCCTAACCGTAAGGAAGAAACTAGAGAGAAAAACCAAACAAAAGAAAAATAGCTCGATATTTTGGTTTCACTAAAATTCTGGTTTATCATCTATTGCATAAACAATCAGTCAGTTACAACATTAACTTCTACCTTAATACAACCCCGCTAAATAAAATACCAAAAAAAGAAAAAAACGAGCAGTTTATATGCATGGGTGGAAGAGGAAACCTTATATTTATTCCAAGGGTGAAAAATGCTGAGCCATAGGCACGCACGCGTAGTACTTCCTGCCCTTCATATTCCCTAGCATTGGATTTGCTATCCTTCTGCACGAAAAAAGAAAAAAGTGACAAAAAAAAAAGTAAAAATAGACATTATTAAGTGGGGTTGGAAATCTAAAGACTATTGAGAACTAATCAGTGCGGGAAACCAAAGAACAATAGGCTCACAATACAATAAAGGGGGAAACTATATGAAACTGAAAAACTTCACAAGAAGATTGTTGTAGACTTGATTATCATCTTCACCAACAGAGAAGTTTTGAATGCTAAAAAAATGAAAGAGAAAGGGATGTGCAGGTATATCAGGAATTTTGTATCAGTTGCTACCGTATGAAACATGAACAACTTAAGCCCAACAATGATGAGAAAAACTTAACAACATCCCAAAGAGCACTAGAGACCACAATAGAATATTCTTAATTTGTCAAGGTGGCCAATGTGGGAGGTTCTATAAGTTTGGACACAATCAATAACCTTTAATTTTCCCTTGAACAACTTAATCAAGTAGAGACTGTAAGACATCCCAAATTAATTTACGAAGGCACTATAACTAAACTAAAAAACAGAATTATGGAGGTATTTCTAAATTATAATTATAAAACTACAGTGTAATGGCATCCAAACCAACCTCGCATGCCTAAGCATGTATAACCACAATAGTGTGCTATTCCTATCCAGTACCAGTGGCAAGCACCAAAAGGATGCCATATTGCCATTGCATCATAATATTCCAGGAATGTTAAAATGTGTGATAACTGTTCCGGGCATGTCTTTTCCCAACTTTGTTTTGAGGTAGTTACAAGCACAGTGTTCATCTTACCCTTGCCTACTACAACCATCTCATTACAAAGCAGTTATTTCCCAGTTTTGTCGAAATATACACACAACTCCATCTATGACTGAACTGCGGTTGACCCGTTCAGTCAAGCATACCCCCACGACGTCCCCAGAATGATCAATTTAGCACAAGTCGCAGTACACAAGGTTCATAAAAAGTGAAGGGGGCAAACACAGAAGGATTTATAACATCAAATATTAGTTTTGTTCCTTTCTAAACTGTTTTAGGTAGAAAATGTCAATCCCACGTCTAAATTAAACAGTAAAGTGATAACAGAATGATCCAAACCTATTACCACCACTTTTCCTGTGACACATGGTAACCCTAGATTCGTCATATATTAAAATTACATCTTACCAAATGTTCCACTTTCAAACCCAGCCCAAAAGCTGCAACAATTCACTAAAGTATTTATTTCTAAACCAGCACAGCAAAGCCCAAATACTCTCTGCGCAAACATCCACAAACATCTCAGTCACGCACACTATGGGTGGATTTTTTGCACACAACACACTTGTCTGATGGTTAGTTTGATTGATTATTAGTTCTGCTCAATCGGTATTATATATTTCCTTGAATTCGTTTGATTTTTAGTTAGGATTTTGATTGTTTAATTATTAGTTTAGATTGTGAGTTGGATTTTAATTGTTAGTTTTGATTTGGATAGTTAGATTTAATTTGGATTTTGATTGCCCTTTTCATTCTCCATTGGGTATTTCAACATGGAGATCCAAACCAGTATCAATATTTGTGTGCCCTTCATTTTACACCATGCCAATTCAATACTTAAAACCATTTTTTAAAATTGCCATGCCAGAGCATGTGATATGCTTTGAAAAGCAAAAGACAATTTTATTGCAAATCCTTCTTCGACATTTTGATTGATAACCCTAGCTTACCATAGTTTGGCCCTTATGAGATGATATGGGAAGGAAAAGTACCACTTAAAATTCAAGTTTTCTTCTTGGACTGTTGCTTAAAAGAAACTTGATACTAATGATTAGTTTCAAAGGAGGAGATCCCATCATTCTTTGCCACCTCAATGATGTATTATGTGTAAAAGAAGTGTGAAGAATATTGATCACTATTTCCAAATTGCTAGGTTACTTTCTGGTATGGTGAATTGTGTTGGATTTCACCAACTTCAAGTTATGCACTGCTTTATTAATTTTTGGGGTTTTCGAAGGAGTAAAAAAGCTCAAACACCATGGAAATGTGTAGTGCTGGCCAATTTTTTGGGTCTTATGATTAGAGAGGAATGTGCAAGAATTTTTCAATGTAGGTGTGAGAAGGCAGAAAACTTGTGAGAAATAATTTGCTTCTTGGCTCCTTCGGGCTTCGGTGTCTTCTCACTTTGAGCGAATTCCGTAGTTCTTGATTAGGGATCATTGTAAACCAATAAGTGAAATATAATTAGTATTTTATTTCCCATTCTTTTCCTAAAGGTTTTTGAATTGTTAGACTATTTGTCCTTCCTGTAACACTTTTCCATTATTACTGAAAGACTTTATAGCTGACCAAAAAGAAAAGAAAAAAAAAAAAAGAGAGAGTAATGGAGAGGTTATTTATCCAAGACAACTTTGGGAGTATAGACATCAGGAGACTGATAGGTATAAACCCCAAGTTATGGGCTCTTTCAGAAATCTTCTCTGAAAAACTTAGCTAACCATGCACACAGGGCAAAAGTTGTATGCTGATATAATAAGTGGATAATTTATGTCTTGAACCAACCTTTTCATAGTCAGCACCAGGTTCATCCGGGAGGCTTTGAAGAAGAACATCACCTACAGCTCGACAAATCTGACTATTTTTCAGCAGTTCTTTGAATATTTCAAGCAGACGAGTATACCTATTGCAACATATAGCTCTGAGCAGCAACTTCTCAACATCAATGCAACTCTGTTCGAGAGAAAATTCTGCCTCCTTTCCCATTAGAGGATCAATGACAAATGTGCTATGAAGGCACTTTATCTTCAAATCTTGCCCAGGTTCAATTTTTATGAATGGGCATGATCCTGCATCAGCTGTTCCAGAGATTTTATCAAAATCTAACCAGTATAAAATCTTTAATCCAGGAGTTCGTAAACCTGCTGAATCAATTTCACCATCTTGAGTGATCTGCATAGAACCCGCAATCCCTCCTTGTCCAACACTACCATCAGATATAAGCTCAAACCGAATTGCATCTTTCCATCTGCCTTGCCTAAGGGCCTGCACTTGTCTTATGACGGTGTCCATGACAAGTGCAATACAAAGCTCATGGAGAACAGTGTATAATGTTGAAAATGGATTTTCTGCAGCAGCCATTCTGCGCTCCAAATCATCTCCAAGAGCATGCCGTCGCAATTCTTCCAGCTTGACAGACCCACTTCTCTCACCAACAAGCAGCTCCATATGTAAGATCCTCCACATTGAAAGGTGTCCTCGATAACCAAGGGTTACTAGAACCTTAAATTCCCCATCCACACGAAGCAATGCAGTACCATCAGAAACTTTGACTTCCGAAATTTCTTTGGGGATTGAAATTTCAAGTAATTTAGACCTCACGAGGGTGTCTAACTTTTTTAAAGCTGGCTTCTGCTGATCTTCGGTCAATGTGCTTTGAATACCTACATCTTCTATACATTTTGGTAATCGCTGGTATGTTCCTGTTAGCAGAACTTCAGTAGCAAATGGAACATCGTAGATAGGAGCACGAGCTTGTTGTAACCCCTCGTGCATGAAAAACATTGAATCTGAGGCCTGGGTGAAGCATGTATCATGACTGGATAGAGTTGATGCCAGCTGCTGACAATATTGTATCAATGGAACCTGCAGAAAACAACCAGGTTTTGCAGCAGACATGTTGTTATAAAATACTACATGGAACCATAGATGAATATAGTTTAATACAACAAAAGATCCAAAGTGCAAAATTATTTCCCTTGCTAACAGAAGCCTAAGGCTAAATTACTCTCCCTGCAACTTTAGCACATTGGTACTACATCACCGATTGCTCGAACCACGTAACCTAATCAATGAGTCTATTCTCCTAAATCAAGACAAAAGGCATTCCACGGCTCAAGGGACCTTTTATCCCAAAAAAGGACCTCGCTTGATCAAAAAAGAAAAGTTAAATTTCAATCAACTGATGAATGCTGTCAATCCAATCCACTTTCAATCAATCGATGACTGCTTCTCTTCCATTCTTAACGTCTTAAAGTGTACCATTCCGAAAAGGTAGGGTTACGGGGCACTCTAAGGAGGAGATTTGTAAAAAGGATTCCCAATTAATTAGCAAGGGAAGACCCACCCTTATTCAATAACTTAGCTCGAACGTCCAGAGTCAGATGCCATAATTCTCAAAAAAAAATTAGAAACAAAGATACTGATCACTGAGAACTAAATTCAAGTGGTGAAGTCAGTGCTAGAATTCGTAAAATATAGCTTGGCAGGGAAAAAATAAAATCAAGTAAAAAATGGAAGCAAGCTCAAGATTTGTGCAATATATATGAGAAAGGTATATATCACCATCATACCATTATCATATATCTCATAGTTACCCTTCCTTAACTCTTAAATCTCTTGGAAGATCTTTACGGAATTTATCACATACTTAACTTTAACAGTGGAGCACATTCATGTCACAATTTTATCCCCATATGTTCTAATCCAATCTAAATATCTGATAATCTCCTTATTGAAAAAATATCTGATCTTCTTCTGATAGAAATCCTTATGTAGCCATGGATACCATTGATTGCTTAAGCTATAAATTCCAAAATCCCCAAGTAGTCAGAATAGGCAATGATTCCGCCCTCAGAACCTCAAAAAGTTTGGTACAATCACACCATGAATCTAGCAAGAACATCATCAAACCTACATGGGTTTCAGGTCTGATCAATCAAGCACCAATTATTCATGTCATTTTGGAAAAAACATTTTCAAAAGTTACACACTGACGAAAAGTTAACTGATATGACTTGCATCTAAATTAATTTTTTTCATAAAATTCATAATTTTTTTTAAAATGTGTACACACAAAAGAAATCTTTTTTTTTCTCTTTTTTCTCTTTTTTCTTTTTTTACCTTTCACTACCCCAAGGAGAAGAGGAAAGAATTGGGTGTATGGGCATCTTATAATTTTTTTTCAATTGCTTGAAAATTGCCCCAATTTAATGGTCCATAATAAAAATAAAACAATCTAAGACAACCTCGTCTCGCATAACTAAGGCGCTCGCTCGAAAGTCACATTCACTTCACCTGGGGTGTTCAAGGCGTCAGACCGTCGTTTCGCTTCGCTTCGCTTCTTGCCTAAGCGAGCTTTTCAAAACACTGCTACAACCTAAGGATAGGAAACTTAGAAAGTTTACTTTATACTTAATTTGGTTTCTTGTTAAGTTAGTAAGAATAGAAGCCTATTTTTCACTAAAATCGTGTGATAGGTTCCTGTATTACTTCAATGCATATTAAGTGTTTGAAGAAATATTTGAATGAAGAGAATGAGCAAAAATTGGCTTAAGTGACTCATTCTAAGTTGATTTGAATGTTATACAAAAGAAAAAGGATAAAAAGTAAATTGGCTCAAGTTATTTAGCTATTCGTGAACTTGCCTAGTCGACGATTAGGACAAAAACACCGATCGATCGATGTTCTAGCCATCATTCAACCATATCAAATATATCATTTCTCTAGTCATTTTATTAATAACTTATGATTTAATCTTTGTTCTACTCTTTAGATATTTCTTGGGGTATTAAAGTAAGAATTGAATACTCCGAAATCTGTTAGTCTTCAAAATACAATTAAGCATTCTTATACGCATTCATTTGAATTTCTTGAGTTTTAGAGTCGATACTCATTTGCATTTGTACATATGCTAATTGGTACAGGTAGATGCTACTACCTCAATTCCACCTAATGATCGACTATGAAGCAAAGTGATAGTGTTATACGTGGTAACGGGTGAGAGTATACCGCTTCATAACATTTGAAAATAAAAGTATATGATATAAAAAATTATCTTTCCTCTGTCAAAAGTAGTTTTGAAAATTTGATTTGTGTTGAGTTGCTTATGTTATGGATCAAATATGTTTTTGGGAAAACTTGTGGTTTGAGTATTATCAACTGTATCAAGTTGTTGATAGTTTAACATGGCTTATATGTTGTTGATTTTGACATTGCACAAATGTTGTAAGATAGTTTGGCTTGCTTAAATATTGTAGATAATTTGACATTACTTAAATATTATAGATAATTTAACATTGCTTAAATGTTATTTCTTAACTCGTGACTCATGTGAAATGTTTATTATGTTGATATCTGAGGTTGACTGGAGTTTCAAAATGAGTCTAATATCACTTTGATTGTGGTTTGGTTCAGATTAAGAATATTTTTGTTGTGAAATAATATTTAATCCATATTTTGGATATACGTCCATTGATTATGATGTCCAATACACTCAAAAAAAATTATTTGTTCTGGGGAACAGTATAAAGAGAGGTCTACTACTGAACTAGCGTGGTAGAGAAAGAGTGCAAATAAGGAAAATAGTTATCCATATATTGTACATGAGTTTTCGTTTCCTTCTTGATGTAAATGATGAAGTCCCTAGTGTTCTTAGTTTGTGGTACGTTGTTATGTACTCTGTAATATAGTCTATTTTTTTTAATGAGATTGACACTTGAAGCTGTGAGTTTTCTTGCATTTTTGCATTATAAGTGTAGATATTACCACGCATCGAGTTACATTTCCATCTTAGGGATTGGCCTCCCGGAATGGGGTGTGATACAAAACTTTGGGCCACCTATCCTCCTAGACATATATTTGACCTTCCTCCAAAGTCCATCGCAAATAGCTTTTTTCCTTTTCTTTTTAGTGTGGTGCAGTGGTGGTGACTACCAAACAAAGGGTATGATTATAAATTAGAAACCCAAAACAAAAAAAAAAGGTTGGCACTTGGAATAAGAAATAGCAGGCGATAGGATTAGGCAAAAACCATTTTATACCAAGATTCAACCAAAGAACAAATGGGGAGTAAGGATAAGAAAACCATCCATATTATGTGTATGGTTATGTGGTGTACATAACAAAATACAAACATATGTATATTGTGATGTCATTGGTATGTCCATATCCAACTATTTTAGATGATGTTACACTTGTGTCCCATCCCATGTTTATGTCCATTCGATAAGATTAGAAGTTGGAAGTTGGGCAAAGCAATACAGTACACAAGTTTAGTTCAATATGAAGAAGGAAACAACTTCTGCATAATGCCTTTCTACATGCACAACAGTACCTCCCCTAAAGGATATTTCCCAACTTTTCTTCCTCAACACCCACAGTAAATACTATACGAACTCAACTACAATATTTTATCGGTTACACTCCCTTCTTTATTTTCAAACTTTGAATTTAGCTGCCAATGTTTCCTTGCCCATCGATTTCTCAATGATTCCTTGATCAAGCGGCCAAACATTGAATTTCATATACATATATATAAAACCACAAGATCACTCTAAAACTTCATTGGCTAACATAAATCGAAAGAGCAAGCCTAAACTACTTCTATTTCCACTTCAACCCAGAACAATTGACTTTGGTGAAGAATTGAGCTTGATTCACGGAGAGGCCCAAGGTGAAATCATGGCATTGCCTGAATCCTTTAAGGCTAATACCCTCCATTTAGCTGCCATGAAAATTTTGGAAGGGAAAGGAATTCAAGGGTTCAATCTTTCCCATAAGTCAATTAGAAGTTGTCAATCCTATAACAAATAGATAAATATATATGGTGCAATTCAGTATATTTCAAGAGCTGTTTCTCAAAACAGCATCTTTCTCCAACTTCCTCTATTTTCTCACCACCCAAACAGACAAAAATTACTTTTTAAACACACAAGCATTCTCTTTCTCAAACAAAAATTAACAAAAACTATGTCTACATTCTTCCACAGCAAACAAAAATGTCCGGCACCTACGAAAGTAGGAAAGCGAAGGACTTTCCTTCGAAAAGAAACCGGTGGAAAACAAAAAAAATAAAAAAGAGTGATAGTATTGAATCCACAAAATACAACATAGAGCAATTACTTTACAAAAACGCAGACAAGAACGTGTGCAAAGTTGTAGAAATTAGTAGAACTGACCTGCTGACACCACTTGGCGAGAACATTGAGACGGAGCATTCGCTGCTGAGTCTTCACCAAGTACTTGAGAATGCCAATTTTCTTCTCGGAATCGGAGAGTTCGGGGGATTTCGACTTGTCCACTAATTCCTTCAGCGACAGATACGATTCCTCTGCTGCTCGACTCACCAGAGTCGAGAACTCCACCGTCTCCTGCCCTAATTCCACCATTGAAATTAAATTCCCCTTCTTTCTCCTTCAACTCTGCGTTCTATAAGCCCTCACCTGCTCATCGAAAGTAGGATTTCAAACACAGGAACCCCAGAGGGAGAAAGTCCAAGAGAGAGGGAGAGAGTAAAATTATCAACTGCAGTTTATGTCCCTAAGAGCATCTCCATCTCCAACCGCGCTCAATAAAATAGCTAAATATCACCTTGAATTGCAAGTAAATTAGATGAATTAACACTTAATTAAACCAGTCGAAGGTGAATGACCACTGTATATCTCAACCCACTTCGTGAGTTCCATTAATTACCATAAATTACAGATGTTTTCAAGATCCTTTGCTGCAATAATATGTCTTTACCCTAATGCAAATATTGTTCAGAAAAAATTCAAAGATAAGTCTCTAGACTAAATGGACATAGAAAGAACATACGAAGTTTTACCCAAACTTCAGTCACACATCTGGAGTCATCTCGTGCTTCTGAAAATTTGTTGTGATACCAGTCGGTGTGTGAGCGTGCAGGAAGGGGGAAAGAAAGAACGGGGAGGAAGGGTGGGGATGCGTGATGTGTATGTTTGTGTGCAGAGAAGTTTATGCCGAAGTGGATGGGAGAGATCAACCTTAGAGAAAGTTGCCGGAGCCCGCCGGCGTTGGAACTAGGCCACGGTGGAAGAGGACAACCCAAAAATTGGGGGGAGAGAGCTCTGATGAGAGAGAGAGTTGCTAGCCACAACTGACGAGAGAGAACAGAGGGAGGCAGAGTAGCGAGCGATTTGTTGAGCCCGTTGGAGCCAAATTTTTTGGATTGGCTCTGCACAATAGCTAAAAGTACCTTATTGAGCCGGTTGGAGTTGCTCTAACTCTCTATATGCGTCCATATATATGTATATATTTCGCTGCATTTATATATGTGAGTACTGCTGTTGGGTTGAATCTGGAGGGAGAGAGAGAGAGAGAGAGAGAGAGAAGGGAGGGGCGGAGGGGGACGGGCCAATGAGTTGCTCCAATGTTTGGAACCTAATTGAGAATAGGAAAAATTTTAACCAGATCCCTCTAATTTATCATATCTTCAAAATATTCCCCCTATTTTTTGAATCTTCACTAACACCTCTTGTTAGATTAAAAATATTAATTAGAATGCAATTTTATTAAATTGTCCATCATATATTTGAGGACAAATTTCATTAACACCCCTTCTAGATAAGCATATTTTTAATGAGACCTCTTTTATTTTCTAAATTTTTTATGTATTAAAATTCGGGTCTATTAAAATTATATTCAAGATATTTAAAATTTACTTTTTACATAATAAAATTTGAGTCTATTAAAAATTATATATTTTTACATATTAAAATTTGATCCGATTAAAATTATATTTGAGCCAATTAAAAATTATTTTTAATCGACTCAAATCAAATATTAACCAACTCGTATTGATTTTTAATTGACCCAAATTTTAATACATAAAAAAATATAAATTTTAATTGAATTGAATTTTAATATATAAAAAATATAAATTTTAATTGACTCAAACTTTAATGAATTGAATTTTAATTCACACAAATTTTAATAATTAAAAAAATATAAATTTTAATTGACTCGAAGCGAATTTTAATCAGCGCTAACAATTTGAATAGAGCTCAAATAAACTTGAATTTTAATATGTAAGAAAAATGTTAACAAGCTCGAATTTTAATACTTAAAAAAAAATTAATCCGTTCAAATTGAAATTTAATCGGCTCAAATTTTAATATATGAAAAAAATAAATTTTAATCAATTTGTTTGTAGAAAAATTGTTTAGAGTTTATGCAGAGGCATTTTTGGTATTTTAGATGAAATTTTTTTTTGTTAAAAATAGTGATTTAACCGCAGGGGGTGTCGGTGATGTTTAAATATAAAATAGAATGGATGTTAGTGATATTTTTAATAATAAAGAGAATATTTTAAAGATATAATAAACTAGAAGGAACATGACTAAAATTCTTCTAAAATATTATTCAGCAGGTGACATGGCAACGGGGTTATCCTAGCCAGGTTCAGCTCATCTGCCGTGGAAAAAAAGAAATGTGAATTACAAAATGCTCCATCCACGTTTGGGTCATATTAGAATTAACTCTTATACTTTTTAATTTTAACAATTTTGCTTCCTCCACATTTAGTTTTAACAATTTTTTTTTAATTTGTTCACCGATGACTTAGACTCACATGTTTACAGGACCTAATAAACTTAGACTCTGATATCAAAATTTATCACCTACTAATCCAAAAATAGTGCATATTGCCTACTCCAATAGAGTGACACCACTCTTAAACGTAACTCTGTAAATTTGTGCATAATTATAATAGAATAATGTTATTTAGACTTAAAAATCTAATCTTATTTACTGAATTGATTCACTATAACTTTAAATTGACTGTGAGTCCTACTAAACAATGACACTTGCTCTTCATCTAATAGTTCTAATAAAATTACATCATTAAGTCGGTAAATGAAATCAAATTTTTAGGTTTGAAATAACATTACTCATTATAATAACTCATAATGCAGGGATAGACCAGGTGCATTAAAATATGAATATAATTCAACCACATGAACACAACATTTACTCATACCTTTCACCAAAGTACACAATCTGACTTTTAAAAACTTCATCTTTACGTGACTTCGGCATATACGAAATGTTACAATAAGACCCATACTTCATTTCTTTCCCCCAAATGCTTAGACTCAGCAGTGGACATCACTCTTTACTCGATTATCTGAAAATACAAACTATGGGAGGTGAGCACAACATTCATATATCCACTAGTAAGGCTATACACTTATTTTTAAGGCTATATGTGTCACTAAGGAATTATCCGTCGCTAAGGTAATATCCGCTACTATGGCTATACATTTGCCTTTAAGACTATATATGTCACTAAGACCATACATCTGTCTTTAAAGCTATATTCGTCAATAAAGCTACTTAGCATATTCACATTTTTCATCACAAGCCAAATAAATCCACACAATTAAACATCAATATTGAATAAGCATATTCTTGTCATTATCAATTGTATGAAATAGAACACTTACCTCATATCCATCTGTAACTCAAAATTAATCCTTAGACAAGACTTTAGGTGTGTTCGACATTGGCATTGTTGCCTCCTTTCCTAACACACATCATCACAAATCATATATAAATATCATCCGTACATGCATTATGTCATAAAATGTACATGTATGGATGCTCAATCATGCTTGAGTTGATAAATTATCAATCCCCTCCCAAAACGTTATAATATAACCACTTAAACTTCGTTTGCTTATTACCTGTCTCACTTAAGCTAGGTTGTATTTAAATCCATAAACCATGTAGTTGTAGACAAATATGTCTAAATAAAGTTGATTTTGACTCAATTAGATGTCCCACGAAGTTTTAAGGATGGTAAGATAAAGGATTAGGAACGTTACAACAAAAATAACAAAACAGACAAATTATACCATTACAAGTCCTACTGGTTCATCGATGTACTAGTTCTTTCCAAGGGAGAATGCCTTTGCACCAGTTCTAGACATCATTGTATCGATTCTTTCTTAACAGAATGCTTTTGTACCTGTACATTTTTCCCTGAACCGAAAGCTTCCTACTTGTACCCAACACCTCCTTCCACCATCTATCCCCTTCCTAACACCTCCCAAGCATCTATCACACTACCCTCAAGAATGTAAAAGCTTAATAACATACTAAATTAATGGAAAAGCTTTATCTTCGATGTGTCATTTCTTCAAAATTCGTCGAAACTTCCAAATGTGAAGAACCTAGGGTTCTTTGATTTTCAACTCAACACCAACAACACAAGAACTTGAATTTAGCCAAGAACAATAGGAGTAGTAAGAATAAATGGGCATGTTTCACTTCAAGGAAGCAAAAAATCTTGCCTCCCCATGCTGATTTTGACAACGAAGGCTAGAACTCCTTCAAAACCCATCACCCACACTTCTAAGCCCAATGAAATGGTACAACTCAAGCACCCTTTATATATTTTTGAATATCCCAAGCTGGAACATCCTACTTGTGTCGGGTGTCCCATGACTCACCCAACTTAATTATACTGTAACACTTAAATTTTTTGATAGATATTAAATTACATCCAAGCGATTCGTCGTCTAATAATTCAAACCTAAAATTTATTTTTAAAAAATACTACTTAACATCCCATGATTTCTAATAACCATAATTTAACCCCATAAGTAAAATTAACATATTACACTTTAACCCCCAATATTATATAAAATGTCATGATTTGCATGTTTGGGTCTCACACCTTGGCCCCAAATTAGCTGGGCCTAAATCCTCTTTCAAAGCTTAAACCAGTTTTTCAAAAGATCAAAATTCAAAATTTTCAAACCCTAACCAAACTTGGTTCTACCTCTATAGACCACGACCAACTTCCCCACCGCTCACAAACTACTCCAAAAACCACTCAAGAGCAAAACCATAACCATTAATTTGGAAAAAAAAAGGCTAGATACAAGACCCATTTGAAAAACCAAAACTCACCTATAACTTTAAACTCAAATTCGAAGTCACAGTCCACCATACCAATTCAATATCGAAGCTTATCACTGAATTTAGGGAGTTGAAACAAAGCTTTGGTGTAGCCCTTGCATTTCGAATCACTCTCTAACAAAAAACCAAAATTTGCTCTTTCTTCTCTTTATTCTCTCTCTCTCTCTCTATCTCTATCTCTATCTCTCACTCTCACTCTCGCTCTCGCTCTCTCTCCTTCAAACAATTTCTGTTATTCTGATCCCTTTCCAGTTGCTTGGGAATGATTTCTGTGACATAAATCATTGCTTTGCATGGCTGCAAAGCCTTCAAAGGGGACACCTCCTCCTTGCACCATGTGAGTTTTCTGTCATTATGCCAAAATTTATTTTTTGTTTTTTTTAAAAAAAAAAATTCAATCACATTAAAATAAATCCTAGAAAAATACTAACTAAATCTACTGCACCCACATCGAT